AGTCCCTGGCGCATAAACATCGCCACAGGGGAGACAAAGGCGGCCGGGCGTGGTGCTGGCCACCCGTGTGCCGTGCCAGCCTTCAAAAGGTGCTTGCGAACAGCACTTGCCCCAACAGTCTGTTAAAGGCTAAATGGGGGAATCTTTGTCTTTGTGATTGGGAGGAATATTCTATACCGGTCCAAGGCCTCCGTTAGGTCAACTTAGCCTTAAACGAGTACTGTACCTAGTGCTGTGGGTAAACATCGGCATTGGGGGAGACAAAGGCGGCCGGGTAGGCGTGATGTTGACCACACCGCATCCCCTCCCCTTGTTAACCACCTCGCCTGGTATGCAGGAGGCTGTGCGTTCGATCCCGACCCCGATGCATGCTGCTGCTGCTGCTGTATATTTGGAGTGTGGTGGTGTCTCTCTCTCTGTGGATTTTTCTCCGGGTCCTCCGGTTTTCCCCCTCCACATTCAGTGGCGTCACGCGTTGAGGTTATTTGGCCGCTATAAATTTCCACGTGATGACGATAAGCCACTTCGTTGAGCTATCATTTGCAATGGCCAGGTTGCTTTAATATAAAAAAAAGCTACATAGCTCAGCGAGGGCCCTTACCTGGCAAAACAAAAACAAGTTTAGTCGTTTAAACATTCACTAAAGAACGTTGCATTGGAACACTCCTCCCAGTTACATGCAGGTGTTCAAACAGCCCACGGTACAACTCAACAAAAAGAGAGGGAGACACGGAAGGACGAATGTGCCATCGATCGTCGCTCTTTATTTTCCCAGCGTGCGTCGCACAAGAAAATCTGACCGACCAAATCAACCGACCGACCAACAGATCAGCCGATCGTCAAACCGACCGACCGACAACTCCCAAGCGGCCCCAATCTCGAGCCGACGGGGACTTCACGACGACCGCGACACGTCTTTTAAGAAACCTTCCGCGATCGGAAAATCTCATCACAGTGCAAAGTGAAAAAATCGAATAATCTCCCACCGTCACCACCACCACCACCGCTGCTAACAAGGTGGTGAGGCGGGGATGGGGATGTGAAGTCAGCCAACTGGACTTGCAATCCGCCGTGGTTCATTGAATCCACCGGCCTCCGTCCACCAAGCAAGGACAACAATTGGGTACAAAAACAAAAGTCGATCACAGTTTGGGGGTTAAATTGTGCGCTTCTCTCATCCATTCCAGGATGTCTTCGCCAGCACGGAAGAGTAGGCCAAATACCCGCTCAGAATAGAGAGGAGGGGTCTTGTTCTCTCTCGTGGAGCTACCCTTCCACCAGCGGTGGGCGTGCGCGAGCGATTGCAGGGCTTGCGCCTCCGCCGTTTTTTTTTTTGTTGCTGTTGTCGATTCGTATTCACGCGGGAATCTCGAGCGGCGCTACGGAGCGGTTGTCCTTCACCCATCTTTTAGAAGGCGAGGGGGCTCCACTTTCGCCGATAAGACATCGTCAGTGCGAGGGCCGCTGCAAACATTTGAAACCACTGGGGTTTGCGACGGCGGCACGATTATGATGATGATGGGGGGAGGGGGGTTTCACTACTTGCGTATAGCCGGGGGGGGCCCGCACGTCAAGAGGGCCGTACGAGGGGGCCGAGGATATTGATCGGCGCTGCGGTGGCTAGGAGATGTTAAGTCCCTCGCCTGGTACACAGGAGGCCGTCGGTACAATCCCGACCCCGACGCCTGCTGTGTATTTGGAGATTCCCGCTCTCTCTCAACGCGAACGCGCGGATTTTTCCTCCGGGTCCTCCGGTTTTTTGCCCTCCACACATTTAGAATCAACGTCACGCGTTCAAGAGAATGTTGCCGCTGTAAATGTCTACGCGATGACGAGCCCCTTCGCTGGGCTATCGTTTGTGATAGCCAGGTCACGTCTGAAATGGAGCTGTTTCGCTCGGTGGGTACCTAACCTGGTAAAATAAAGAACTCCCAAATTAAGGACTCACTGGCAGAAGACCCCCCCCCCCAGTTTGATCTTCCACGACCAAACCTGGCAAGAAAAATACAAACGAAAATCTGTCGATGAAATGGATTCGCAACTGTCCACGGAGAGGCTTGAGAAGCCCTTTCAGAGGCCTTCGCCCTTCGCCCTCGCCACCTTCGCCAAGTGCGAGCCAATCAGGGGCAGCAGCCTCCAGTCGTCGGTCGCCACGGTGACGAGGACGGCCGCAGGACCGCTGCCACCGCCGGCGCCGCAACCGCCGCGGCCCTTTGCGACCCGAGGGCCGGTGACGCGCACCAGGATGTGCCTCCCAGGGGGCAGCGTCATGGCGGCCCAGAACGCTCGCCGACCGGCGGGGCCGCGGACCCCGTCGGCGTCGTGCCGGCGGTCGCCACCGCACGCCGACACGGCGAAGCGGCGCAGGCCCCGCTCCAGCCTCTCGGCGACGGCGCCCCTCGCCGCCTCCCCCGCCGCCGCTTCCTCGGAGCCAGCGCCTCCGCCGAGGCGCAGGACGCTTTGGGCACAGGCGGTGGGATCGATGACGTCGTCGCCGTCGTCGCAGTCCGAGATTTGGGATCCGTCGGAGGCCGCCGCGTCGGCGGCAGCGGTCGTGAAGAGCGCCCACAGCCCCTCGAAGAGTCGCGAGCGGGCGTCCGGCGACAGGGCGGGCGCCAGCGGCCGCAGGAGGCTCGCGAGCGGCACCGACAGCGTCGGCAGGCGGCAGCGGCACGTGCGGCCCAGCCCGTCCGCGAACACGGCCGTCGGGGCGAGCGTCACGTCGCGGTACCGGCGGCTGCCGCGCGACCAGCTCAGCCGAAGTCTCGCCGTGCGACCGCCGGCGCCGTCGCTGCCGGCGGGGCCCAGGCAGGGGCAGCCGCACGTCCTCGGCGCGGGCGCCGGCGAAACGCAGCTGCACGGCGTACGCCGTGCCGTGGCGCCGGGACCAGTCGTCGCGCAGGGCGACGCGCAGGGCGACCTGCGCCTCGTCGGGGCCGGCCCCAGTGCTCGCCGCCGGCGCCGCCGCCGCCCCAGCTGCCGCCGTTCTTGCCGCCCCGCGCAGCCACCTCAGGTAGACGGGCAGCGCGTCCTCTTCGTTGACGCCGTCGGCGACGTCCGCGCCGGCGACACCGTCGCCGCCGTCCCGGTCGGGGTCGACGAGTGCCAGCGCGAGGGCGGGTTCCGCAAGCGGCACCAGGCACGGCACTTCGGCGATCGGCGAGGCCGGGACCGGCGGCGCCGAGTCGTCGTCGTGGCGGCGGCGGCGGTCGCGGCGGTCGCGGCGGTGACGACGGCAACACCGCGCCACCGCCGCCGCCGGCGGCGCGGACAGCAGAGCGCGGAGCTTCGCCGGCGAGAGCGCCGCCTGGAGCCCCGCGAGCGCCCTCGCCCGGTCCCGCACGTCGAGGTCGCACAGCGGCGACTGCGCCAGCGTGAGCAGCAGCCGGGACAGCAGCGGCGCAGCCACCGCATCGGCGGCGCCTCCGCCGGGCCTCGCCAAGAGGTGCCGGCACACCGCCAGGACGCCGCAGCCGCCCTCCCAGTTGCCGAGAACGCCGGCGGCGCCGGCGGCGGGACCGGCTTCGGGCGAGACGAGTCGCAGCAAGAAGATGAGCGCGGGGCGCAGCGGGCACCCGTGGCTCCCTGGCCGCGCGCTCCAGCACCAGCAGCTCGTAGGGCAGCCGCTCCGGCGGCCGCCGGAGCGGCTGGCTCCGGGAGCCGGTGGCGGTGCCGACGATCGCCTCCTGCAGCGAGCGCAGCAGCAGCACCGGAAACCGCCGCCGCCGCCGGACGACGCCGGCGGCGGCGACGCCGACGTTAACGACGACGTGGACGACGACGTGGACGACGACGTGGACGACGACGATTCTAGCGCCGTCGCCACCGCCAGCGCCTCCGCTGCCTCCTCCTCCTCCTCCTCCTCCTCCTGCATGCGGTCGACGAGGCGAACGACGCGGGGAGACAGGCGGACATCCTCCACGAACGCGTCCAGGAGAAGCCGGCGCAGCCCGCAGAGCGCCGGCGCGTTCCGCCGGAAGTGGCGAAAGTAGAGGAGCGCCGCTCCGAAAAAACGGGCAGGGCACGCTGCGGGGCTGCTGGCGTCCCTTCTGCTGCTGCTGCTGCTGCTGGCGCCTCCGCCGGGACCGGCGGGGAAGGTCCGACGCCATCGCCCGCAGGCAGCCCAGCAGGCGGTCGGCGCCCTCGCCGGCGCCGCTTTCGCCGTGCGCCTCCCCAAAGTCGTCCTCACAGTGGATCAGGCAGAGCAGCTGGAACCGGGAGAGCAGCAGATACGCCGCGGAAGCGCCGTCTTCCCGGGACGTGGACTGCGGCGACGGTGGGAAGAGCGGAGGACAGCCGCGGAAGACGGTCGGGAAGAGGCTGGTGGCGATTGCCGTGGTGAGCGAGAGCGGCGCGCGGCACGGTGCCGCCCCTGCCACCGGCAATACCGTGGCGACAACCGCCACAACCATCGCCACCAACGCTGCATCCCTACCACCCGGCGTCACCTCCGTACCCATCAACCCCACCACTCGCGCTACAATCTGGACCAACGCCACCACCGCCACCGGTGTTGCTACCGACGCCGCCGCCGCCGCCGCACTCGCAGCAACCAGCAACCGCGTCGTGACCGCCGCCGCCGCCGCCGCCGCCGCCGCCGCCGTCGTCGTCGTCGTGCAGCGGCGAATTCTCGGGGAAGCGCAGCAGCCACCGCGACGCCAGCATGCGGGTGCCGTCTGCGGCGGCAGCGCCGGGGTGCGCCGCCGCCACCGCCAGCCTCCGCGCCAGCAGCGCCTCCTCGTCGGGCGCGAACAGCGCGTCGCCGAACGCCCGCTTCATCAGCAGCGCCGCGGCCACCAGCGGCGGCTCCGACGAGGCCATCAGCCGCAGCAGCTGGGGCTTGAACACGACGGGCGGGACGCGGGACGCGGAGGCCGCCGCGGCCAGGCGCCGCGCCGCCAGCAGCTGCCGCGGAGGAGAGAGCAGCGGCAGGCGGTCCAGCGCGGCCGCTACGGAGGCGCGCGTCTCGGCGCCGGCCGCGGCAGGCGGCGGCCGCGGCCGCAGCGGTAGCGGTCGAGGTGCCGCCGCCGCCGACGACGCCCGTCGCGATCCCGCCGCCGCCGGCAGCTGTGTCCGTTGGCGAGCACGAGCGCCGACAGTGCCGCCACGCCCACCGTCGTCCCGGCTGCCAGCGCCTTCAGCTGCTCGCCGCTCCTCCCAGAGCAGCCCGGGGAAGGCGGCCTCGAGCTCCACAAGGCCCTCCAGAGCGACCCTCCTCAGGGGCGCCGGGACAACGGCTCCACGCTCCGCACCTCCCCTCTTCTGCTGCTGCTGCTGCTGCTGCTGGCGCTTCTGCTGGTGTTGCGAGCTGGCCACGAGCTGCAGCAGGGTGGAACGCGGTTTGAGACAGCGCGTGAGCGAGGGCCGCCGCCGCCGCCGCCCGCCGATCATCGTCTCCGTCGTCGCCGGAGCCGTCATTCGCTGGGGGCTGCGACAGCACCAGCAGCGTGGTGAGCGCCAGCGTGGCGTGCACGCGCAACTCGAGGTTTGCTGGCGACGACGACGATGTCGACGGAGAGGACACCAACGACAGCAGAGCAGCGATGAGTTTCTGGGTCCCCTGCCAGTCACCCGGTGTTCCATGATCCTCCACCTCCTGACAATGATGATGCGGATGATGACGACAATGCTGCTGCTGCTGCTGCGCTGGTGGCAGGAAGGACTCGGGGAACTCTTGCAGGCGGCGCAGGAGTTGAAGCTGGTTGGTGAACCAAAAGGTGGATCAGGCGAGGGCGGGGAGGGGAGGAGAGATGACAGGGTGAGCACGCAAGTCGGGGCGGACAGATTTCATTCGCGTGAACGACGCAGGGACGGTCAAGGGAGGAAATGCGCCCGGTAGGACGTCACCACCCTCGCAGCAGCAGCAGCGGCGGCGGCTTTTGGCTGCTGGCCATCGAACAAAGACGGAACGCTCTCTCTTCCGATATCCGGAAGCCACTGGGAACTACGAAACTTTTAAATCATCTCGATTGGCAAACTAAGTTGTTGTTTTTTTGGTCTTTCACCCGCGACTCCGATGAGCGTGGTTTGGCTACGTACGGTGCGGAAGAAGTACAACACAAGAACGTACAAGACACATTAAAGTAGTTGGGGGGGGGGGGCATTGGATTCAGGTTGAGCGCAGATTCTAGATGGATTATTAAGCCCCAGGATCGTGTGATGGTGATGATGTGGAGGACTTCATCCAGCAGTGGACCGACCACGGCTAATGACGAGGCCATCGTCCAACAGTGTACACACCACGGCTGATGATGGGAAGGCCTTCATCCAGCAGTGGATCACGGCTAATGACAAGGCCATCGTCCAACAGTGGATAGACCACGGCTGATGATGGGAAGGCCTTCATCCAGCAATGGATCACGGCTAATGACGAGGCCATCGTCCAACAGTGGATAGACCACGGCTGGTGATGGGAAGGCCTTCATCCAGCAGTGGATCACGGCTAATGACGAGGCCATCGTCCAACAGTGGATAGACCACGGCTGATGATGGGAAGGCCTTCATCCAGCAGTGGATCACGGCTAATGACGAGGCCTTCGTCCAACAGTAGATAGACCACGGCTCCTGGTGGACCCTGCTTGGGCCTACCAGGCCCCGGGCACTTTACCTGAGCCTCGACGTTGCCTGCTTTGCCCGGCGGCGGCGGCGGAGAGAGCAGCAGGGGCAGCGCCGCTTCCGCAGGCCGCAGCGGGCGCGCTCCGCCGCTCATCGTGGAGCGAGCGAGCGAGAGTGAAGCCGAGTTGCGATTGAAATTGTTTAAGTCGAAAGTTAATTTTTCTATATCTGTTTAATTTTTTTACTTGAAATTTGCCTTCCCCTTTTGCGTGCCCGAGAAGTCCGATTACCCTTCACAAACAATAGCAGGAACGCCACTGCATTTCCCACCACGGACAAGCGCGCCCGGACCGTGCTTAACCAATGAGACGCGCTTCTCTGCGGGCGCCGATTGGTCGCTTGGGGGAGCTCGTGACGTCACTCCAAGGCGGGGGGCTGTGAGCCAATCGGAGTCGGGCGGTGCTTAAGCGTGGTGGGAAATGTAATTAGAACGGGCGGGAGTCACGTGCTACCCCCTTCCCCCACCCCTCCTATCCCCCACTCCCCCCCCAATGTCACGTAGATGGGTTCAAATTGATGAAAATTAAATAAACCAAAAACTACGACGTTTCGATGACAACATACAACACAATCGATCCTGATGATTATCGCTTGTGTTGTGATCGAAACGTCGTAGTTTTTTGTTGATTTTATTTTCATTAATTTGAACGTTTCTACGTGACTTTACCTGAAAGACCCAAAGAACAAGGCATACATGTCAACCCATACGGTTTACCCATATTCTTTGTACAGGGAAATTGAGTGTTCAGGTCCATGCGGGTAACACAATTGTGTATATTGTGTTTCTCCCTTGTAATGGGACTTTGTAGGATGGACGTTGAGATTTATAAGGTCTGTAATAAGGTAGGGCACTGATAAGGGGTTGACAGGTATGCTCAGGTCTATCGGGGTGGCTCACAGAGCCAGAATAGGAGAAACAATATAAAAATGTATCGGCTCATATTCGTTAAGTGTGCGTCATTGAGCCACCTTCGAAGTCTCGCGGGCATCCCTCCGTTATTAACCCAGGGCCAGAATGAAATGCATTTGGGAATTGTCTGGCTCGCAGAGCCAGGCTGAATGACGTGGGCACATCTAACGAATCAAGCGAGTCAGGCTAAATCATATTCAGAATTATTGAGGCTCACGTGGGCAGGCGAAGGTCCTCTTGTGTTTGTTGTGGTTCAGGTGGATGTGGGTTCAGGTATATATCAGGCTTTCTCGTGGTTAATGATACTGTATGAAGGGCTCCTAGGGTCAGACTAAGGCTCCCTAATTCGGCTTCTTGCCTCGCGCTGGCTACGCTGTAGAATCGCCTGCCAGCTAAACATTTGCACGTGGTAAGTCACTTCGTTGAGCTATCGTGTGTGGTCAGGTCGTTTCTAACAAAGAGCTAATAACTCAGTGGGCCTTACCTGATAAAATAAAAAAAATCTTTTTATCATCGCCGTCGTCTCTTTCCCCCCCTCGTCCTCGAAGCTCTTACGATAACCCTGTTCAATTCAGGATGTGCCTGAACTCTTTATTACAATATTCATGTTGTCGTTTGTTGCTGGCCGTTTGGCGTTTGGGAGCAAGTGATGTTAACACGTGGCACGGTGGCGAGATGTTAACTACTTCGCATGGTATACAGGAGGTCGTGGGTTCGATCCACACCCTGACGCCTGCTGCTGTATATTTGGCGTTTGCGGTGTCTTTCTCCCCATGGTCGTGAGGATTTTTCTTCGGTTCCTCCGCTATTTCCCTCCACGTTTAGAATCAACATCCACGTGTTGAGAATATTCGGCTGCAATACATCTCCATATGATAAGCCACTTCGTGGGGCTCTCATTTGTGATAGCCAGTTCGATTCTGACAAAGAGCCACATAGCTCAGAGGACCTTACCTGCTAAAATAAAATAATAGTTTAGCTTTTAAATTAGTTTACTACACCACAGGGTGACCATAGGGTGACAATCATGATCCAATTTTTGTAATATCACTCCGCTTCTTGCGTTGGCAGTGGCGCACAAGCGACATTAACAACTCCTACACGTTCAATCTAGATTTGAAGCTTTCGTGACTGCGGGAATCCATACCACGGCATCTCTCTCCCACTTCAGCAAAAAATAAAATATTGCTGTAGTTTTCCCACCTGATGATGATTGCTTGTGTTGCAATCGAAACGTCGTGATTTATTTTATATTATACCTACGTGACTTTACCGAAAGAACTAAAGAGTATCCAACACGTCCATTCACACCTCTGCGGCCTTCGGAGTAAATATATAACAGGTAGACGTTTCGGGCAATGGCCCTTTGCCGTAGCCGCATTTGTCCAGAGAAACGCGTCAAGACTCGGCAAGGCATCGCGCGTGCACACATTTGTAACAATGTCTTTCTTTAATGCAAAACAAAAACAATAATATAATAATGCAGCAAACAAAAAAAAACGCACACAGACGCGCGGGATATTACAACACTGAGACGACGATAACACAGGAAGGTCACAGCAAGGCCGATACACACCTGCTTGGTTTAGTCTTAAATAGAGCCGTAAGTGTGGGGGGGGGGGGGGGTGGTGATAACCGCGTGCGTAGGAGGAGGAGGAACGATGGAGAGGGTTTCTGTGGCCTTGCATCGAGGGAAGGCAGCGGACCAGTAAGAGAGGGTTTGGTCCGTCCGTCGCTGCATATCCACCGACGAAAGAACGCACTGTCTGGAAACATTCTCATTCAGTTACATTGTGGCGTAAAGAGGGCGGGCGTTCTCCCGCCAAGTGTGAATCGCTCTGTCTGCCTGGGCCCCTTCGTCATTTCTGCTCCGATGAAGGGTCCCTGCCACGAACCGTCACGCGTTAAGTATATTTGTCTCTGCCCTGTATTGGCGGTGCTGTCGATGGGAGCGTTGGGGTCGTTGGAAGACGGAGAGTGGCGCTGGGAACAGCAAAGGGCGGTTGGTTAGTGAGAGGCACGCTTTGTGTGTGGGCTCTTTGAGGGCGATGAACACAGAGGTTAACTTGGTGGATTCGTTGTGTTTTTTTACAGGTAGGGTGAAGTCATCTTTTCTGTGCGTCTTGGCCGGACAAATGGGGGAGAGGTTGAAAGGTGATCGAGAAAGGTGGCGGGGATTCAAAGTCGGTGAGATCTGGAGAAAAATTTTGGGGAGGAAACCCAGCAGTGAAATGGGGGGTGGGGGGGGGAATCTGATTCTTTTTAATTTCCAGGGAAATTGGAGAAAAATCTGAGACATTCCAGAGAAATCTGAAGAAAAGTTATCCGGGTCCTAAAGACATCTGAGCATAATCAGGTAAAGTACAGAAACAAATGGTGAAACGTCTAAGAAATCTCATAAATTTGGGCAAAGTCAGAGAAAAACCCAGCGTAATCTGGTGAGAGCCAAAAATCATCCCAACGAAAAATGAAGTTTAAATCCAAGAGAGATGTGGTGAAACCGCAGCCTCAAATGACCTGACCCTCCCTTCCCCCCCCGCCCCCCGGGGCCCTCCCACGTCTCCACAGCCGGAGGCTCTCACGCGGTGAGAGCCACCCGAGCCGTGAGCTGCGAGCGGCGCGGCGAGGACGTCTCGCGGCGATTAAAGCCGTGGGACGTCGACGACGAGGATGATGAAAATGACGACGACAACGATGACGATGATGATGGACTACGTAGAGAAATAACTCGCGCATTATCGAGGGCACTGCACTCGTTTGAATGATGGGGGGGGGGGGGAGTGGAAGCTTAAAGTGGGACGTCTTGTTCTGTCGATCCACTCAGTGGCAGTTTAACACGCAGCAGGAGGCTTTCGCGACAAATATCATCCATAAGAGGGTTGTTGTTTTTTTTTGGGGGGGGGGTGGGGGGGGTTAGAATCGCGTAAATATAAACGCGCCGTTAAACGCGCCACGATCCGAGTCCGACGTTTCGCCAGTAAAAACAACTAGCACCATCAGGCGGACAGCCGCTCAGTGACGTGGGCCGAGGAGAACGACCGAAAGGTCTTGCGGCCACAGGCCCACCCAACTCGCCCGTCGGCCCTCGTTAGATGCGCGTTGCGCAACTCCCCCTTCGGTCGCGCGTTGTGTGCGCTTCGTGGGCGAACGGACACTGCCTGCCGGGCGTCGTGCGCGGTGCGAGAGCCACGTGACGTCGTCACATCCCAGCCGGGCCCCTGCGAAGGAGGGACGTTCTGGGGTGGGAAGGGGGGGGGGGGGTGGAGGGCGAGGAGGATTCGACCTCGGGCGCAAGGTCTAAAAGTGGTCGTGCGAGAGGCGCCAGTGGCAGCGGGAGACACACAGAGAGAGAGAGAGAGAGCCAGAGACGTTGAGTAGGACGGGGCCGCCCTGAACGAACGATCCGCTGGCCCCTCGTGCACGCCGGCTCGCGGAGCACTTTGAGCGCGTCGGCGATGCCGCGCCCACGGCTTCTGCCCCACCGACCCAACCCCCGGCGGCACGTGCGAGTCCCGCCCGCCGATTGACTCTCGTCTGCATCATCGTCGTCATCACCATCATCATCATCATCACCTCCTCTTCTCATTCACACCGCACCTCACCCTACACCGTCGCTCTCCGCCAACATCGACAAACTCACGCTCATCTCGTCTTTAGCCAGGTCTCGACCGGTCTACGAGCCGCTTCGGCTCTTCGAACGCACCCAACGTGATCGCGGCCATCGCCGCCGCTACCGCAGTCGTCGCAATATACTTTAATAGAATACATTTTGAGCGGCGGGTGATTAAATACGGTACTTTAACCTTTTTTCCCCCCCGTACGGTAACCTATAACTCCTTTAAGCTACATTTAAAAAAAGAAAAGATAGGAAAGAAAATGCTGCTCTTAGTGCGTTAAGGTTTGGATGCGTCAAATAGGCGAACGTATATCAATCTTAGCGTCAGGTATAAAATAAATAATGTCCACAGGGAAGGCACTTGGCTCATTAAAGCATCACAGTGGTATTGTTCCCCTCCTCAAACCCCCCCCCACCCCCCCCCTCTAGAAACGCTGGCCCATTCGGGTGAAGGGTTGCCACCTTGCCCACAGCATAGAGCAAAACTCGGGAAGATTTCCTTTAAGCAGAGCTGACCGGTCCCGGGTGGGTACCCGGAACAGATGGCAACCCGGGTACACGGCCGTGCCATTCCGTGGCTCGTGTCGTTACCACAATCGAACAATCGAACGTTGTTGAAAGAACGTCGCGCGCCGCTTCGTAATTCGGGTTGCCACCATCCCCCCCCCACCCAACGCGGACCGCACCCAGAGCTGTTTCTCAGCCGCCACGAGGTCCGCTATCAGAACTGCGCGGTTCACTGCCATGACGACTTTCGACGCAGCCGCACCGGTGCCGGACCTCGGCATAGAGCAGCGGCTCAAAGACGCCAATTCCACCGGACTGCACCAGGCGGGACAGGTGGCAACCCCGGTGAGCGGGCGGGAAAGTGGTGTGGGTCGGTGAGCGAATGGGCGAGCGAGTGGGCGGGCGAGTGGGTCAGTGAGTGAATGGGTGAGTAGGAGGGCGAGTGGTGTGGGTCGGTGAGTGAATGGGTGAGTAGGGGGGCGGGTGAGTGGGTCAGTGAGTGAATGCGTGAGTAGGAGGGCGGGTGAGTGGGTCAGTGAGTGAATGGGTGAGTAGGAGGGCGGGCGAGTGGGTCAGTGAGTGAATGGGTGAGTAGGAGGGCGGGTGAGTGGGTCAGTGAGTGAATGGGTGAGTAGGAGGGCGGGCGAGTGGGTCAGTGAGTGAATGGGTGAGTAGGAGGGCGGGCGAGTGGGTCAGTGAGTGAATGGGTGAGTAGGAGGGCGAGTGGTGTTGGTCTGTGAGTGAGTGGGTGAGCGAGTTACTGGGCGAGTGAGTGAGTAAACGAGTCGGTGGGAGTTGCCACCTTCGTCACAGCGCAGACCAAAGCCGGGCACATTGTCTCAGCCACCCACAAGGTCTGTTGTCAAAAAGCGTGCAGCAGTTCACGTTTCCGTGCGAGGTCAACCGTGGGCACGGGGCGACGGTGTCGCAGGGGGGGTGGGGGGGGGGGGTTGGGGACGTGTGCGATCGACGTTGGGGAAAGGAGGAGGGATACGAGCCGTGTGTTCGTGGAACCGACGGGCGTTTTAGTTCGCGGGGCTCTTTTGAGTTCGAAGGCGCCGAAGACCGCGCCGGGTCTGCGTCGCCAATCGACTGCGGGCCCGAACGTCCCCAGAAGTCACGCGGGGGTTGTCTCGCTCCCGCGGCGAGCTCTTAGCCGATGGCATCACGGAGGCCGCATCGAATGCGCCGTTTAGAAACCCCGGTCGTGGAGAATCGCCCTTCGACTGCACCCAGGGCGCTGCTGAAGCGGCGGATAACCAGTGGCACGTTGTGTAAACGCTTGCCCGTGCGCGACAATCTGATCGCGTTTGGCCTTCGACGGCCGCGGCGGTGGTGAAGGAGGCATTTGGCCGGGTCGTTACGTGGCATGACGTCCCCCAATTTTTTTTGTTCGTTGAAATTTTTTTTTTTATCGCAGCCAAATTTTGTTCGCAGCGGTTAGAGACGATACGGGGTTTTTTGGCAAGCATCTTCAGGACAACACTCGGGAAAGTGATAATAACGGCTCTTTTCTTCTGGTGACGTTCAGAGAGAGAGATAGCTGGTGTCTCGTTCCGGTGGTGTTAAAGAGAGAGAGAGGGAGAGACAGTTCCCCATTGTGTTTGTTGTCCTTCCCCCGCACCTCCGATATGCACGCTTGGCTACGTCACGGTGCAAAAGAAATTCAACAAACATGCATTGATCACAACAGAGGTTTTTGCTGGATTAGATCGCGTGAAATATAAATGTGTCGTTAAACCCACCACCACCCGATACAGCCAATTAGTAAGGTTCGTCAGGTCAACAATTCGCTACTCGTTCAGCAGACTGGTGTGTTGGAGAGTAAACTCACAACGTTGACAATTCGAGTACGACGTTTCGCCTTTGATTACAACCAGAATCATCAGGCGATCAACCAGAAATGTGGGGAATGCCTTCCTGTTTCGGTCTTACATAGAGGTGGTGGGTAAATGTGATGCCGTCACTGTGAACCGTACATTGTCATATTGAGCGTGTAACCATCCTGGCAGAAACTATCGCTCGCCTACCCCAACTCTCATCGCAAACGCAACTTGCTCCCTCCATCGCCAACTTGTCCCTCCATTGGTGGTGGTGGGGAGGGGGAGGCGGAATCCACGACGGTTTGAGTCCCAACCCTAGCGAAGGTCTACGGAGAGGGGCACGCAGCGTGAGCTCGTGCCATCCCTGGTTAAAGCCAGGAGCAGCCGTCACGACGCACACACACACGCACGCACACGCGCGCGCTCGTGTGCGCGGGCGTTCCACTCCACTCCCATCTGTTCTGTTCCGTCCCAGCCGTTCGCGCCACCACTCAATCACGCCTACAGGCACGCCAGGGTTGCCACCTTGTACTGCTTATTTTCCCACTACGTCGTCAATATATATATATTTTTTAAAGAAGATCTGTAAAAGACTCGTGATGCACCGTTCGTGACGAAGCATTCACAGCTTGCTTCTCATCTCCTCTGAGACATTCTTCTGCGCGCCTCTCACTGCGATACGTCCCGGTTCTTTGCAACTCAAAGACAAGTGGCAACCCTCACGTTCAACGCAGGCACGCACGCACACCGCATCACTCGCTCCACATCACCAACATGTCCCATCGCGCGCCCTCCCCCATCACCACTGTCTCCCATCGTTGGATTGCGCCCCCAACCACCCCCCTCCCCCCCACCACATCATCCATCATCGCTCCCGTCGCTCATCCGCTCAGCTCCTACGTTCGTCTCCCATCGCCAGCCGCCATCACCCCGTCTGCCGTCACGCGCGCGCGTACACACATCCTCTCTGCCATCATCGCCGGCCAGCTCTCCTTCCCTTTTCTCCCTCTCTCCATCTCTTTCCCCCTCTCTCTCTCTCTCTCCCCATCTCTCATCATCATCAGCAGTCATCTATTGCCACGCGTTCGCCCGCTCGCCCCGCCCGCCCGCCCGTCCGGTCGCCGCCGTCGCCGCGATCACCGGCACGTGTGCATCTCCACGTGCTTGCGGCACTGCCTGCACTTGACGAAGCAGCACCAGTGGAACTTGCAGTAGCAGCGCTCCACCAGCTCGGCGCGCGTCGTGTGGAAACCGCGGCCGCAGCACATGAGCTCGCAGCCGTCGAGGGCGCGCGAGGTGCGGTTGCACTCGCGCCCCGCCGTGCCCGCCACGCCGGCCTTGGGGTCGGCGTCGCAGAAGTCCGGGCTGGGCGCCACGTACACCAGGTCCTCGTCCGTGTGCGGCTTGAACTGCGCGTTGCGCGGCACCAGCTGCCTCCGCGTGCCAATCTTGCGCAGTTCCACCTGGGGCGTGGGTGGGCAGGCGGGCGTGTGGGTGTGGGTGGGTGTGGGCAGGCGGGCGTGTGGGTGGGTGTGGGTGGGTGTGGGCAGGCAGGCGGGCGTGTGGGTGTGGGTGGGTGTGGGCAGGCGGGCGTGTGGGTGGGTGTGGGTGGGTGCGGGTGAGTGTGGGTGTGGGGAGCACAGGAGTTAGCGCGCTGCACTGCAAAACCGGGCCGCCCGAGTTCGAGTCCCGCTCATGGACCACGCTGGTGACGATTATCTGAACAGGGTCTCGGGACCTCCTCCACAAGGTCGACTCAGCCTCGTGTGCCGTGCTGGCCTTCATAGGTGCTCGCTAACAGCACTTGCCCCAAGAGTCTGTTAAGGCTACACGGGGGATCTATGTCTTTGTGATTGGGTGTGGGTGGGTATAGATGGGTATGGTTGGGTATTATGGGTGGGTGGGTGGTTGTGAGTGGGTATGGGTGGGTGAGTATGGGTGGATATGTGTGGAGGTGTTTGGGTATGAGTTGGTATGTGTGGGTATGGGTGGGTATGGGTGGAAATGGTGATTATTCCGCTTAGGCGAATTTAGTGACGAATATATTCAGGTGTTTGTTTTTTATAATCGTGAACTTCCAACGCACTGCCGCACACTATTCACTCACTCACGACGAGAACGAGTGAACGACTCAGAGGTTCGGTGAGTGACCACAGACGAGTGGAAAGGCAACAGCAACCACGCGGTGAGCTGGAACCAATTACACCCCCACCTCCCCCACCAAGCTCTGCGGTGTTTACATGCGGATTGGAAACCGCAGTACCCGGAGAAAACCCACGCGTGCGAGGGGGCAACGCTCTATCCCAGGGGGTCGGCAACCTGCGTTTCCGGAGTGGCGTGCGGCTCTCTAAGGAGCTGCTTCGTGATGCTATTCACGAACGTCCGTCCCGTGTTCATCACGGGCACTGCGGCTCTTGCAATATCGAGTTTGTTACTGAATTTGGAAAACAAATGTTCAGTTGCCGACCACCTGCTCTATGCCATACATATGGAATAGGTGGGGTCCACATTTTCGCTGCACCGCCGCACCCCTGGAGAGCCAGAAGTACGGCTCCTCCCCGCCGCCTACCCACGGCGAAGGGAGTTTCGCAACAACATCAGCCGTGCGCGGTGATCCACCAACCCCCACTCGCTGCTACCTCCACAGCGCTGGATCGCGAGCAGCCGTGTGCAGCGTAGCCACCAATACCAAACAGCCGTCAGTAGCCACTAAGTGACGGTGACCACGCCGCATGTGCCGTGCCAGGTGCACTTTGAGGCCGCGTGAAGTGACAGGTGGTCACGGGACAGACCCAGGTGTAATGGGTTTGACTGCTGTGCCAGGCTAGGTGCAGGAGGACGAGGTCATGGGACAGACCCAGGTGCCATGGGGTTGACTGACTGAGATGACTGGCAGATGCACCACTTGTGGTCCCTGCTGTGCCAACTTAGCGTAGCCACCACCACCACCACCAGCGCCCGGCCGTTGTTATTATTATTAATATCATAATGGAAGATGACGAGGTGAAGGTGAGCGTGCAGCAGGATGGCAACGAAACGCCTTCATCCAGCAGTGGATAATAGACAATGGCTGCTGCTGCTGCTGCTGATGATGATGGTGGTGGTGGAGATTGTGGTTATTGTGGTTGAACACGTGGTGGAGGAGGGAGGAGGAGGAAGAGGAGGCGCGTCGCACCTCCGTGGCGCCGTCGAACTTCTCCTTGAGCACGGAGCCGATCTTGCGGAACGGAGGCAGCGCCCTCCAGCAGGTGCGCACCTCACACGAGCCTGACACGCCGTGGCACTTACACTCGACACGCATGTGGGAGACTACAGCCTGGAGACAACGGGGAGAGACACGCGGAGACATGGAGAGACTGGGAAGACACGCGGAGGCACACGCAGAGATGTGCAGAGATACGCGGTGGGTCTCTTCGCGAGAGTACATGGGCCTCTATGCGCGAGTCCATGGGCCGCTATCCGAGAGTCCGTAGGCCTCTATGCAAGAGTCCGTGGGCCTCTATGCGAGAGACTGTGGGCCTCTATGCGAGAGACCGTGGGCCTCTATCCGAGAGTCCGTGGGCCTCCATCCGAGAGACCGTGGGCCTCTATGCGAGAGTCCGTGGGCCTCTATGCGAGCGTCCGTGGGCCTCCATCCGAGAGACCGTGGGCCTCTATCCGAGAGTCCGTGGGCCTCTATCCGAGAGTCCGTGGGCCTCAATGCGAGTGTCCGTGGGCCTCTATCCGAGAGACCGTGGGCCTCTATCCGAGAGTCCGTGGGCCTCTTTGCGATAGTCCGTGGGCCTCTATCCGAGAGACCGTAGGCCTCTATCCGAGAGTCCGTGGGCCTCAATGCGAGCGTCCGTGGGCCTCAATGCGAGCGTCCGTGGGCCTCTATCCGAGAGACCGTGGGCCTCTATCCGAGAGTCCGTGGGCCTCTATGCGATAGTCCGTGGGCCTCTATCCTAGAGACCGTGGGCCTCTATGCGAGAGACCGTGGGCCTCTATCCGAGAGTCCGTGAGCCTCAATGCGAGCGTCCGTGGGCCTCTATCCAAAAGACCGTGGGCCTCTATCCGAGAGACCGTAGGCCTCTATCCGCGAGACCGTGGGCCTCTATCCGAGAGTCCGTGGGCCTCTATCCGAGAGTCCGTGGGCCTCTATGCGATAGTCCGTGGGCCTCTATCCGAGAGTCCGTGGGCCTCTATGCGATAGTCCGTGGGCCTCTATCCGAGAGTCCGTGGGCCTCTATGCAATAGTCCGTGGGCCCCTATCCGAGAGACCGTGGGCCTCTATCCGAGAGTCCGTGGGCCTCAATGCGAGCGTCCGTGGGTCTCTATGCGAGAGACCGTGGGCCTCAATATGAGAGTCCGTGGGCCTCTATGCGAGAGTACATGGGCCTCTATGCGAGAGTCCATGGGCCTCTATGCAAGAGTCCGTGGCCTCAATGCGAGAGTCCGTGGGCCTCAATATGAGAGTCCGTGGGCCTCTATGCGAGAGTACATGGGCCTCTATGCGATAGTCTGTGGGCATCTATGCGATAGTCCATGGGCCTCTATCCGAGAGTCCGTAGGCCTCTATGCAAGAGTCCGTGGGCCTCTATGCGAGAGACCGTGGGCCTCTATCCGAGAGTCCGTGGGCCTCAATGCGAGCGTCCGTGGGCCTCTATCCGAGAGACCGTGGGCCTCTATCCGAGAGTCCGTGGGCCTCTATGCGATAGTCCGTGGGCCTCTATCCGAGAGACCGTGGGCCTCAATGTGATTGTCCGTGGGCCTCAATGCGAGCGTCCGTGGGCCTCTATCCGAGAGACCGTGGGCCTCTATGCGATAGTCAGTGGGCCTCTATCCGAGAGACCGTAGGCCTCTATCCAAGAGTCCGTGGGCCTCAATGCGAGCGTCCGTGGGTCTCTATGCGAGAGACCGTGGGCCTCAATGCGAGCGTCCGTGGGTCTCTATGAGCCCGTGGGCCTCCACGCGAGGCTCCGTGCGCCTCTTATGAGACCAGCGGGCCTCTCCGCGAGAGTCCGTGAAGCGCGGCCCTCACCTTGCGGCCGGCCTCGTTGTTGTGGAGATTCATGAGCGTCCGTGCCGGGGAGCCTCCCTTGCCGCGCTCCCTCGCATCCACGAAGCTCTGCGAGAAGGCCACTCCGTAGGCGATGTTGTCCGAGCATCCCGACCACTGAAACCCTGCACAAGCGACCACAACAGGGGGGTGGTGGAGGGTTTGGTTGGGGGAGGGCTACGTGAGGGCGGGGGGGGGGGGTCAGTGAGGGGGGGCCTCTATAGCAGTACGTAAGGGGGTGGGTTTGTAGAGGATTGCCCTAGTGGGGGGCCCCTGAGGGTCTCTGTGAGGGGGGCCCTATAGCAGTGCGTGAGGGGTGTGTTTGTAGAGGATTGCCCCTAGTGGGGGGCTCCTGAGGGTCTCTGTGAGGGGGGTCCTATAGCAGTCCATGAGGGGTGGGTTTGTCGAGGATTTCCCCTAGGAGGGGGGGCTCTGGAGGTCTCTGTGAGGGGGGGCCTATAGTAGTCCATGAGGCGTGGGTTTGTCGAGGATTTCCCCTAGTGGGGGGGGGGCCTGGAGGTCTCTGTGAGTACCCCCCAACCCTCCCTCACCTCCCAAAATGGGTTCCTGAGGGACTTTGTCTCCCCGGTAGAGATCTCAGAGGGTGTCTGTGAATGTGGGGGTCCCAACCCTGAGGGTCTCTGTGAGGGTCTCCCCGATAGGAAAATCCCTCAGGATCTCGGAGTTTCTCCCAAGTGGGGGCTCCTGAAGGTCTCTGTGAGTGTCTCCCCGATAGGGAAGTACCTGAGGATCTCGGGGAGTTTCTGCGTGGTGTGTGGGCAGGGGGTCCCTGAGGGGGTCTCTGTGAGTCTCTTTGCTGGTGAGGGGGTCTCCTGAGGGTCTGCGCGAGGGCCGTACCCTCAGGGCTGGTGCCGCTGACCGTGCGGTCGCACCCGCACTTGTCGAGCTCCCCGCTGCTGCAGCCGCGCGTCACCGCGTGGGCCACCGCGGCCGCCGCCACCGCGTACACGAAGGCACCTTCCCGCGTGCCTGCAGCCAGCCAATCGGAGAGCGGGGATCAGCAACACGCCGGCCAATCAGAAGGGCGAGAGATGGAGGGGGGAGGGGAGGAAAGTTAGAGATGTGGGGTGGGGGGGGGGCAAGATGCTAACTCAACCAATCAGAGAGTGGCAGCGTAATTGATAAATCAACCAATCAGAGATGGGAGGGGGACAAGGTGTTGGCCTCAACCAATTGGGGAGTGTCAAAGTGACGAGTTTAACACGTAGGCTTTCACGTTATTATCCATAATATAAGTTTTTTGGGTTAGATCGCGTGGATATAAATGTGTCGTTAAACCCGCCACCACCCGACACAGCCAATGAGTAAGGTTCGTCACGCAAACAAGACGTGCCAATTCTTTACTAGTACAGCACACCGGTGTGTTGGAGAGTAAACCCGCAACATTTGCAATTCGAGTACGACACGTCACCAGTAATTGCAACCCAGCATCATCAGGTGGGCAGCCAGAGTTGTGGAGAAATTATGATGAATCAACCAATCAGAGCCATAGGGGGGCAAATTGGTGAATCAGCCAATAATATGTAGAGAGATAGGAGGGGGGGGGGTCAAAGTGACGAATCGACCAATCAGAAAGTGAGGGGGGCAAAGTGATGTAAAGAGCAATGCCACACGTTGAGCGACAAATCGGAAAGATGTAAAGCGTGATGGAACCGACCAATTGGAGCAAGGGAAAGCGATAAGCCTATCTGTCGCCAGATAATAAACTCAACACATATTGTCGACAACACGAGGGCCTTAAACTGTGAAATATACAATAGTCGACGTTTCGGGCAACGGCCCTTCTTGGTAGCACGTAAATGGAAAGACCCGAGAGACGGAGTGGAAGATAAGAGACTCCACTTGTTTACACCGTGGGGCCAGATGAGAATTAGATTTAAAAGGTTTTCTGACCGATCAAGAGAGATGCTCAGCACAGGTCTCCGTTCCCCAGTTTTCCTCTCACCATCATCTCGACCAGAGCTCCTGTTACCAGCGCTCCCTTCCCCGGGGGCTCACCCCCCGAAGCTCTCCTCCACCTCACCGTACGTCTCACTCGCCTCACATCTTCCGTTCCTTCTAAGTCAATCCTCTCTCAGCCCCGAGTCTCCATCTCCGATTAGCACGGGTTGGCGACGTGCGGTACGAAATAAGTTCAACATACTTCTTGCTTTCCGCTCTCCTCCCATGAAGATCTCTCTTCCTCCCACGCCTCGACCTCACAACAGTTCTCCTCCTCTCGTCACGTTTCTCATCTGCTCCACGTCTCGCTCTCATCCCAGCTCTGCCGCTCACTCACTCTGTCACCTCACCACATATCTCCTGCGATCCACGCCAGCTCTCCCCGAATGCGTCTCTCCCCTTCACTTTCTCACCCTGACTGACCTCTCCCTCTGGTGAGTCTCACCCAGGCTGACGACTTAATTCCAGCTGTCTCCTGGTGAGTCAATCCCAGCTCTTTCCTGGTGAGTCAATCCCAGCCCTCTCCTGGTGAGTCAATCCCAGTCCCCTCCTGGTGACTCAATCCCAGCCCTCTCCTGGTGAGTAAATCCCAGCCCTCTCCTGGTGACTCAATCCTAGTCCCCTCCTGGTGACTCAATCCCAGCCCTCTCCTGGTGAGTCAATCCCAGTCCTCTCCTGGCGAGTCAATCCCAGCCCTCTCCTGGTGACTCAATCCCAGTCCTCTCCTGGTGAGTCAATCCCAGTCCTCTCCTGGCGAGTCAATCCCAGTCCTCTCCTGGTGACTCAATCCCAGTCCTCTCCTGGTGAGTCAATCCCAGCCCTCTCCTGGTGACTCAATCCCAGTCCCCTCCTGGTGACTCAATCCCAGCCCTCTCCTGGTGAGTCAATCCCAGTCCTCTCCTGGCGAGTCAATCCCAGTCCTCTCCTGGCGAGTCAATCCCAGCCCTCTCCTGGTGACTCAATCCAAGTCCTCTCCTGGTGAGTCAATCCCAGTCCTCTCCTGGCAAGTCAATCCCAGTCCTCTCCTGGTGACTCAATCCCAGTCCTCTCCTGGTGAGTCAATCCCAGCCCTCTCCTGGTGACTCAATCCTAGTCCCCTCCTGGTGACTCAATCCCAGCCCTCTCCTGGTGAGTCAATCCCAGTCCTCTCCTGGCGAGTCAATCCCAGTCCTCTCCTGGTGACTCAATCCCAGTCCTCTCCTGGTGACTCAATCCCAGCCCTCTCCTCGTCAGTCTCCCTCCACTCCTCACCCTGGCTGACAATTTCACCTCACCTTTCTCCGAGACTCACCCTGGCTGATGACTCAACCCCCTCACCACCCCACCACCACCAATCCTTACCCTGACTGACCACTCAAGCCCCCCTCACCACCACCACCATCACACCACCACCACTCCACCACTCCTCACCCTGATTGACCACTCAACCCCCCTCCTCACCACCACCACTCCTCACCCTGACTGACCACTCAACCCCCTCCTCACCACCACCACCACTCCTCACCCTGACTGACCACTCAACCCCTTCCTCACCACCACCACTCCTCACCCTGACTGACCACTTAACCCCCCCTCACCACCACCACCTCCACTCCTCACCCTGACTGACCACTTAACCCCCCCTCACCACCACCACCACCACCACTCCTCACCCTGACTAACCACTCAACCCCCTCCTCACCACCACCACCACTCCTCACCCTGACTAACCACTCAACCCCCCCTCACCACCACCACCACCACCACTCCTCACCCTGACTAACCACTCAACCCCCTCCTCACCACCACCACCACCACCACTCCTCACCCTGACTGACCACTCAACCCCCCCCTCACCACCACCACCACCCCCTCACCACCACCACCACCGCCTCACCACCACCACCACCACCCCCTCACCACCACCACCACCACCCCCTCACCACCACCACCACTCCTCACCCTGACTGACGATCTTGCCGAACACGCTGGGCCCGCTGCGGGTCGTGCTGCAGTTCCAGCGCCGCTGTCGGAACTGGTGCTGGCACTCGGCGATGGCGACCTGGGCGCCGCGCCTCACCGCCTCCATCACCTCGGTGTGACGGCGGCAGAGCTGCACCTGGCGAGGCGTGAGGCCGCCCAGGGACTCGCAGGCGTGCGGGGAGGAAGACGACGACGACGATGATGATGAAGACGACGACGAGGAGGAGGAGGACGACGACGATGATGATGAGGATGATGATGGGTCAGAGGTCACGGCGCCCAGAGATGCCAAGCGCGAGAGCGCTCTAAAGGAGGGGGGGATGACAAAGAAAATGAAGTTAACGATGACTATTGAGGTAAATGACGACATTTATGAGGTAAATATAACTGCGAGGTAAACCGCAATAACAACGATGGTAATGTTGAGGTAAAACATGGGACAATTTTGAGGTAAATATAACAAGTGTGAGGTAAACTACGGCAATAGCGGTGAGGAGGACGAGTTACATCACGACAATTATGTGGTAAATAAAACCGAGGTAAACTACAGCGATAATAACGACGACGATTATGAGGTGAATAACGACTATTGAGGTAAATATAACTACTGCGAGGTGAATTACATCAATAACAATTATTAGGCAAATTAAACAACAACGAGGTACACTATAACAACGGTGAGGTAAATAATGGTTGCCCGAAACGTCGTCTCATATACGTCTATTTTCAAGCCACACACACAGTGTTAGTTGTTTTATCCGTGTGCGGATATTTGTTTTTATGTGTCTGCATTGCTGGATTATCCTAGTAGCAAAAGTAGCTACATATGTACGTAGCTACGGGCCCCGAACTCTCCAGGGTCCCGCGTTAAATGCTTTCAAGCTATAAATTCCGGTTCAGTGATTCTGCACTTGCTCTATTACTATAGTACTACACCGCCTTCAACTTTAATGAACGACTAGGTGTTTAAGGTTAGCGATTTGTCGTGTTATCTGGCCGTATAGCAAATGACAAAATACTATTACTTGACTATGCAAGTTAAAAAAAACAGAAATGCGTTTTAATGTTTATGTTTTTTTTCAGGGGTCGGCGAGTTCCTGAGGCCCCGAAGCCGCGTGCGGCGACCTCTTTAAATGTGACCTCTTCGTGACTGTTACTTATAAAGGGACTCATTATCGTCTCGTATTCAGCACCACAGCGAATTTTGCCTCTTCAAATATTTAATTAAATTTGTTATGGAATTCAAAAACGATGGTTCTTCTTGTAAGGTTTTCGGTTGCCGAACCCCGGTCTATATTACTAAAATCGATTAGTGTCTGTGTCTCTCTGCTCGTCTGTGTATGTACGTGTGTCTGTGTCTCTATGTGTGTGTACGTGTGTCTGTGTCTCTATGTGTGTGTACGTGTGTCTGTGTCTCTATGTGTGTGTACGTGTGTCTGTGTCTCTATGTGTGTGTGTATGTGTGTCTGTGTCTCTATGTGTGTGTACGTGTGTCTGTGTCTCTATATGTGTGTGTATGTGTGTCTGTGTCTATATGTGTGTGTGTACGTGTGTCTGTGTCTCCATGTGTGTGTGTACGTGTGTCTGTGTCTATATGTGTGTGTACGTGTGTCTGTGTCTCTATGTGTGTGTGTGTATGTGTGTCTGTGTCTCTATGTGTGTGTACGTGTGTCTGTGTCTCTATGTGTGTGTGTGTGTACGTGTGTCTGTGTCTATATGTGTGTGTACGTGTGTCTGTGTCTCTATGTGTGTGTATGTGTGTCTGTGTCTATATGTGTGTGTACGTGTGTCTGTGTCTCTATGTGTGTGTGTGTATGTGTGTCTGTGTCTCTATGTGTGTGTACGTGTGTCTGTGTCTCTATGTGTGTGTGTGTGTGTACGTGTGTCTGTGTCTATATGTGTGTGTACGTGTGTCTGTGTCTCTATGTGTGTGTGTGTATGTGTGTCTGTGTCTATATGTGTGTACGTGTGTCTGTGTCTCTATGTGTGTGTGTACGTGTGTCTGCGTCTATATGTGTGTGTACGTGTGTCTGTGTCTCTATGTGTGTGTGTATGTGTGTCTGTGTCTCTATGTGTGTGTACGTGTGTCTGTGTCTCTATGTGTGTGTGTGTGTACGTGTGTCTGTGTCTATATGTGTGTGTACGTGTGTCTGTGTCTCTATGTGTGTGTGTATGTGTGTCTGTGTCTCTGTGTGTGTGTGTCTGTGTCTATATGTGTGTGTACGTGTGTCTGTGTCTCTATGTGTGTGTGTACGTGTGTCTGTGTCTATATGTGTGTGTACGTGTGTCTGTGTCTCTATGTGTGTGTGTATGTGTGTCTGTCTCTATGTGTGTGTACGTGTGTCTGTGTCTCTATGTGTGTGTGTGTACGTGTGTCTGTGTCTCTGTGTGTGTATGTGTGTCTGTGTCTCTATGTGTGTGTACGTGTGTCTGTGTCTCTATGTGTGTGTGTACGTGTGTCTGTGTCTATATGTGTGTGTACGTGTGTCTGTGTCTCTATGTGTGTGTGTATGTGTGTCTGTGTCTCTATGTGTGTGTACGTGTGTCTGTGTCTCTATGTGTGTGTGTGTACGTGTGTCTGTGTCTATATGTGTGTGTGTGTGTCTCTATGTGTGTGTGTACGTGTGTCTGTCTCTATGTGTGTGTACGTGTGTCTGTGTCTCTATGTGTGTGTGTGTACGTGTGTCTGTGTCTCTGTGTGTGTATGTGTGTCTGTGTCTCTATGTGTGTGTACGTGTGTCTGTGTCTCTATGTGTGTGTGTACGTGTGTCTGTGTCTATATGTGTGTGTACGTGTGTCTGTGTCTCTATGTGTGTGTGTATGTGTGTCTGTGTCTCTATGTGTGTGTACGTGTGTCTGTGTCTCTATGTGTGTGTGTGTACGTGTGTCTGTGTCTATATGTGTGTATGTGTGTCTCTATGTGTGTGTGTACGTGTGTCTGTGTCTCTATGTGTGTGTGTACGTGTGTCTGCGTCTCTATGTGTGTGTACGTGTGTCTGTGTCTCTATGTGTGTGTGTATGTGTGTCTGTGTCTATATGTGTGTGTACGTGTGTCTGTGTCTCTATGTGTGTGTGTACGTGTGTCTGTGTCTCTATGTGTGTGTACGTGTGTCTGTGTCTCTATGTGTGTGTGTATGTGTGTCTGTGTCTATATGTGTGTGTACGTGTGTCTGTGTCTCTATGTGTGTGTGTATGTGTGTCTGTGTCTCTATGTGTGTGTGTATGTGTGTCTGAGAGCGGTAGTGTAGTGGTCAGCGCGCTGCGCTGCGAACCCGGCGACCCGGGTTCGATTCCCGCTCTCGGCCAACACCACCAGTGACGATTTTCTGAACCGGTCCCGGGCCACACGGCACACTCACAAAAGGTAAAAGTTCCACCCCCCCCCCCCCCCCCCCCCCCCGTATAGCCTTTTAAAGGAATGTTGGGGCAAGTTCTGTTCGTGAGAAGTACCTATAAAGGCCGGCAGTGCACACGAAGGGGGAATGGATGGGTGGCCCAACACTACGCCCCGTCGCCTTTGTCTCTCCCGTGCTGCTGTTCGACACACACACCGCAACTAGGTACTCGTTTTAAGGCTGAGCCGACCTAGAGAAGGCCCAGAGACCGGCTCAGACATACGCCGCCGATGTCGGTGGCTGTGAACGGGAATCGAACTCGGGCTCGTTGCCAGGTGGCTCGCAGTGGGCAGTGTGTGGTTTGAGAGAGGGGAGGCACTGACCCATCTCGGTCATCATATGGGATTGATTTGGGTGCGCGCGTGTGTTTTATTTATTTGTAATATTTATCTTTTTATTTTTATGTTTCTCTTTTGTGTTACTTTGTTATTTAGACAAAACGCAGTGTAGTCAGCGATTTCGCCTCTCTCTCGCGGAGATGTTTTAAAAGTGGTGATGCAGAAGGTTGGCGGGGGTGTCGGCTCAGTGGGTGAGCGGTAGCGTAGGGGTTAGCGCTACGCTGCGCTACGAACCCGGCCACCCGAGTTCGATTCCCGCTCACGGGCCAACACCAGCGACGATTATCTGATATCGGTCCTGCGCCTCCTCTAGGTCGACTCGGCCTCAAATGAGTACCTGGTGCGATGTGTAAACATCGCCACTGGGGAGACAAAGGCGGCAGAGCGAGGTGCTGGTCACCCACCCCCTCGTGTGCTGTGCCGGCCTTCGTAGGTGCTCGCTAACAGCACTTGCCCCAACAATCTGTTAAGGCTACACGGGGGAGTCTTTGTTGATGATGATGGGTTAGATGAGCGATGGTAGTGATCATGTTGTTCATATTCATGGTGGCGGGGATGTTGTTAGTGGTAGTGATGTGAGTGATGATTTGAGTGGTCGTAGTAGACATCTGTGGGAAAGAACTTCCTAGCTCATCGGATTCCTCCAGCACAAATACATATTCTGATGATGGTCGTGAAGATGGTGATGGTCTTGTGCTTAGTATTGGTCGCGTGGCGATGTTAATGATGGCAGGAGTGATGATGATGATGGCAGTGCTAATGAGGATGTTTGTGGTAACGCTGGTGATTCATCACTGTAATCAATTAAACAGGAAACAAGATAACAAAACACAGCATCACTTTTATCAGTGACCGTCCCCCCCCCCCCCGTCTCTCTCTCCCCAACTCCCTCCATCACCACTTTCCTCTCCATTCTCCCACCTCGACCAGCTCTCGACTCCTCCGTGTTCATTATTTTCTTTCTCTCTCCCCTTCTGACGAGGGTGGAGTTGACGTTCATAGAAATGGTGGTGTGGTGGTAGAGATGATGATGATGGTGGTAGTGGTCATGGTGGTAGTAGTGGTGATGATGATGGTCGTGGTGATGATGATGATGGTCGTTGTGGTGATGATGGTGGTAGTGGTGATGATGATGGTCGTTGTGGTGATGATGGTGGTAGTGGTGATGATGATGATGATGGTCGTTGTGGTGATGATGGTGGTAGTGGTGATGATGGTGGTGGTAGTGGTAATGATGATGATGGTCGTAGTGGTGATGATGATGATGGTGGTAGTAGTGATAATGGTGGTAGTGGTGATGATGGTAGTTGGTGATGATATGATACTGATGATCGTGGTGTAATAATTGTGGGAGTAATTATGGTGTGTTAGTGGTGATGATATGGTGGTGGTGGTGGTGATGATGTTGATGTTTGCGTGGTCTTGGTGGCAACGATGATGATTCATTACTACTATTACTCAAACAGGAAATGTGATAGCAACACAAACAACAGAATAACTTTTTTTTTCATCAGTGAGCTCTCTCTCCCTCCTTTCCTCTCCCTCCCTCCTTTCCTCTCCCCGAATCCAGCC